TTGTAAATAACAGTTTTGTATACGAAATGTTTCCAAGTTATAGAATATTTTCGGAATTAATATTTCTATTAAACAGTTTGTTACACTCATACAACATATCCGTACGTTAATGTGGTGTGAATGATTTTTGTAAATTTTTTGCTTTGTTGTATTATAAATTAAAATTATATTCTATACATAATTTTAAAATATTTTTTTTATGATTATAGGTCATTTGTATTGGTTTAGTTATAAATCACATCTCATAATTCAGTACAACCTAGTTTTATATAAAGATGCTCTTGCTTAATTTTGTGAATGAAATCTAAATATGTACGTTTATGCGTACGTATAGAGTGAAAATATTGGGTATAAATGATAATATCAAATGTGTTGAAATGATACTAGTTTATAGAATTTTAATTAACAATAATATTTTATTTTAAAGAATTAATGAATTTTAAATAAAAATATAAAATAGATAATGTTATGAATTTATATTGTCAGGAAAATCGTAGTAGTAAAGTGTAAACATTATAAAATAATTGAGATAAAGAAATATTTGTAATTTTTTATTACAACTCGCATTTAAAAGTGTCAAATATCTGTATCACTGCAGTATTTAAAAAGGTAAACTGTACAAGGTTAATTCTTATTAAAATATTAAAATTAATTTCTACTAACCTCATAACCTCATTGTTTTTCTTTCATTTCATGTATAGTAATAAAGGTTTTATAATATTATCATTATAATGTTTCACAGTTTAGTTCAGTCAATATTAAAAAACAATTCTTTGTGTTAATTCATTTTACAATGATACTTTATAGTTTATGTTACTATTAAATCATGTCTTGCATTTACTAACACAGTTTATTGAATAAATGTTCCAATGTGTTTTAATCTAATTTAAATTATATTAATCTCGTAAAATTTTTAATACAAAATCAGACTATATTTCAAAATATATCAAGTTTTTGAAATTGAGGACCTTTGCTCATAGTTTTTAAACTAAACAAATTATATATGGTTCAATGTCATAATTACATCAATATTTTTCAATTTTATGATACATTCATAGTATCGAATAAATAAATAAATATTGAAAGTTAATATTTAAATTTACTTACTTTGATGAGTATAATTTTAAACTTTACTAACTATGCTTTTGATGTAACAAGTAAGCTCTCCAACGCCAGTACCATGCCATTTCAAGTTGATTAAAACCAGTAGTAAAAAATGATAGAGCAACAAAGAAAAGCGAAAGGATCAGTGTCCACAATTGAAATAACGGAGAAATAATAAGCAACAGTATTGCAGCACCTGAAATTAACAAGATTTTTTAATATAAATCTTATAAAAAATTAATAAAAATTAATAACTCACCTGTTAAGATACTCCAAAAACCTAATGCAACTTGTAAAGGGTATATATTTGTCAAAGGCCAAATTTCAGTAGAAAAAGTTTTTCTTTTGTAAAATTGTTTTAAAACTTCTTCTTTGTTATACCACCTTTCTTCTAACCATTGTCTTAATGCTATATCATCTGTTGGCATATCAGCTGATGGTATCCTTTTAATATGAAAATGTACTTCATATGGTAATTTGCCTTTGATTAAATCTAATTCTGACTGTGGAACATAGTCTGGATATGCAATTGTTAAGTCATAAACAGCATCAAGATAGTTAGCTTGTTGAAGATGATGAACTAAATAAGTGAATCCTGTTGTCCGTGGATGAAGAGTAAAGGAATACTGTGGCAACTTGTATTTTGAAGCGTATCTGTCTGACTTTTCTTTGCTACTTTTTGTTAAGTCTGTACCTTCCGGAAATATTAATAATTGAGAACGCCTATCCAATGATACTAAATAATCAAGGGTGTGCGACAATCGACTTTGATCTTCTTCCCACCGTCGTGTTATATAAAGGAAGCCATTCATTTGCATTATCCATCCTGTCATACAATACTTCTTTAAAATTCTCTAGTTCCTTAAAAATATTATTTTGTAGATTCAATGTTTTTTTATTACAGAATATAAAATAAACATTTCAATGTTTCTATTTCAAAATTAAATTTTAAAATAACTTCAATAATTAGTAATGGTATTGCCTAGCAAAATGTCAAATATATTTGAAAAAACTTGTTTTTTTAAAATTCTGTATAAAAAATATTACACAAAGCCATTACTTATTGTTATAATATAATTTGAAATTAAAATATTTTTAATATTTTCGGTAGTGAGCTTTCATTTTTCATATTTTTTAATAATACTGTTATATTACCTGGACCTGGAATATGTCTTATAGGATCCTTTAAAACAAACTTTAATCTATGAGTTGCTACACTGGGTAAGCACGCTTGATACATTGCTGCCCATAAAAAATTCCAATCTACTCGTGTTCTGTGATTCATTACAAGTATAGCAGATTCTTCTGGAGATATGTGATCCCCAGACACAAAAATTTTCACACCAAATACTTTTAAAAGAGCCTAAAATATTCAGAGAATAGACTAATCATAGTTTCAAACAAACAATTAGTTTTATGAAAAATATATATTTCTACAAGCCATAGGAAAGAGGAAAGAAATCAAATTAATTTAACTTACCGTGGAATAAAGTTCCCAACAGGAAAATAAAAAATCATTACATTTTCGAAATTTTAGTGGGCTAAACAATAACAGTGGTAACATAGGACAGGCAATAAATAAAAAGCCAGCCACTACACTGCCATACCACAGTGCACAATATAAAGTACCACGTAAAAGTCCACGCATTACAAAGTATGTTTAAGATATCTAAAAAAGAAACAGTTAAATATATATTTATTATATACATGTATAGGGATTGTAAATCCATATCTTATTATATATTTTTTAATTACTGCAATGTGTCTCTTTAACTTCTTGATTATCAAATTGTTAAAAAGATAATTAGTAATACAATAACAAAACAGAATGCATCTTATATTACATATATGCAAAAAATAAATATAATAGTAAAATTTTATAATACAATATTTTTCATTCCAATATCAACATTTACAAACAGAAATTTGTATTTTATTTGTTATAAATAATTTTCTAAACAATTTATATTCATTATAGTAACAAGGAAGAGAAAAATGTATTTTCTGTAGTAATAATATAAATTGAAGTAAAAATCAGAATCTAGATTTTATAACATTTTAAATAATAGAGTTTACCTTATCATGTATATGTTCTGATTGAACCACTTTTTACAAGCTCTCAGTATTAACTACCTCTTCTGAAATGTTTTCTCTGGCTTCCCTTCTGTCTTACTAGAAGGGCTTCTATGTGCTTCACCCCTTCTACCCCATTTTCCACCCAGTAGATACTGAGCTCTGGGATGCTGTCTGGACCATTATTGATCTGTTAAAATAGGGAGGAAATTTATAATTATCTATAAAATTGCAAGACTTGTTTTTCTTTACAACTTTATTTAAAAAATTTCAATCAATCTATAATTCATTTGTAAAATATTGCGTGAAAAATATAAATTATTATATAAAAACATCGATTAATTTTTATTATTTAAAAAGGTTTAGTGTGATATTGTTGATGCAGTAGGTTGTCAAAAAACAAAATAATAATTAAGTATTATTTTTTTTTAATGCAGCATTTAAACGTAGAAAAAATACAATAATTATAATATCTTTAAGGAATGTACATAGTAATATAAGTGGAAAGATTCTTTAAATTATAATTACTGGCAGTTTTATAAGTATAATTGTGTTTACAGATCTTGAATAATTGGTAGATTATTTTTTAACAAGTATTGTATATACCATCATTCAATATACATTTATATTATACAAATACCAATCATATATAACTTCAATAAATGTATTAAATGAAGGGGATGTTAACAAAAGTTAAACATTTATAGTCCAAGTTATTTATACTTTAAAATTCATTG